CTACAAAAGGTGCAAGTATGCTTACAAAACAGAGATCGCAAATACTCGAAGATGTGGAGAGACTGTCGTTGGTGTGGATCAATGAGAAACAATTATCAGGAGATAGTGTTTCTCGGTCAATAATATGTGAAAAGGCGAGCTAGTTGAATGATGATCTAATGAAGAAAATGCCTGAAACTAGTGCTGATGTTAGTGAATTTAAGGCATAAACAGTGTGATAAGGCATGGTGAGGCTGCCAGTTCTGACAAAAAAGCGGCTGAAAAATATGTGCAGGACTTTAAGGGGTACATAGAAGGTGAAAAATTAAAACCCCAACAAATGTTCAACTATGACGAAACAGGCCTATCTTGGAAGAAAATGCCAAACAGGACCTACATTACTCAGGAGGAAAAGGCACTCCCAGGGCACAAGCCTATGAAAGACAGGCTAACTCTCATGTCTTGTAGTAATGCTAGAGGTGATTGCAAAGTGAAGCCTTTACTCGTGCATCACTCAAACTCCCAGCGTGTTTAAGAAAAAAAATGTCATTTAGACTAAATTGTGTGTGATGTGGAGAGCAAACAGTAAGGCATGGGTCACTAAGGACATTTTCCTTGACTGGTTTTATGAAGTGCTTCTCCCTACTGTGAAAAAATACCTCCTGGAAAATAAATTGTCACTCAAGTGCCTCCTGGTAATGGACAATGCTCCTGCTCATCCTCACGACTTGCAAGAGCAAATTGTGGGGGAGTTGAGCTTCATCAAAGTTTTTGCCTCCTAATACCACTCCTCTCCTCCAGCCCATGGACCAGCAGGTCATTTCAAACTTCAAAAAACTGTACACCAAAGCAGTGCTTCAAAAGTGCTTTGAAGTGACCTCAGACACTGAACTGACCCTAAGAGAGTTTTGGAAAGATCACTTCAGTATCCTCAGTTGCATAAACCTTATAGGTAAGGCTTGGGAAGAAGTGACTTGCAGGATTTTGAACTCTGCTTGGAGAAAATTGTGGCCAGAATGTGTATAAGAGAGGGATTTTGAAGGGTTTGGGGCTAACCCTGAGGAGCCTATGCCAGTTGTGGAATCTATTGTGGCACTGGGGAAGTCCATGGGGTTGGAAGTTAGTGGCGAGGATGTGGAAGAGTTGAAGGACGACGATGAAGGGTTAATCAATACAGAGCTGCAAGAGCTTCAGGTGAAACAGCAACAGATCACAGCTCAGGAATGTGCTTCAGAGGAAGAGGAAGAGAGAGTGAGGAAGTTGCCTTCGTCAAAGATTAAGGACATTTGTGCAAAGTGGGTTGAAGTGCAAACCTTTATGGATGAAAATTATCCTGACAGCTGTTGCAAGCCATATTGGCAACATGTACAATGGCACTCTTGTGTTCCATTTTAGGGAAATCTTAGACTCCTGTTGCACAAAATATTTGTCCAGAGCTCTCTGGACAAATATTTTGTGCAACAGGGGTCCAGTGACTCAAGCTGGTCCTAGTGGCATTACAAAACAAAGAAGGGAGGTAACCCCAGAAAAGGACTTGTTACCTGAAGTCTTTATGGAAGGGGATTCCCCTTCCAAACAATAGTACACCTACATCCTCTCCTCCCCTCCTGTCTCATCACTCATCAGTAAGTCCACAATAAAGGTAAGTGTCATTTCAGTATTGTTTATTGTGCATGTCTCATTGTTTTCTGTGTAGGGAAATGTATATTTCATGTAAAGAAAATTATTTTGTTTCGTACTTTTGGGAGCCTGGAACGAATTAATTGGATTTCCATTATTTCTTATGGGGAAAATTAATTCGGCTAACATCCAAATCGGTTAAAGGCGAGCTCTTTGGAACAGATTAATGCCGTTACCCAAGGGTCCACTGTATATATCAACAACCTTTATGAGGGAATTACTAGTGATATGAGCAAATTTACCGATGACACGAAGTTAGGTAGGATAATTGATTCAAACATAGATGTCACTTAACTTCAGGAGGATTTAGACAAACTCAATTCATGGTCAAGAAAGTGGCAGATGCAGTTCAATGTAGATAAATGCAAGATTCTGAAACTCGGGAGTGTCCATAACCCTAGCACTTATAATTTAAATAACAAAAAACTTAGCCATACAGATTGCAAAAAGGACTTGGGGATTATGGTGAGCAGCAACCTTAACCCTTTCAGGGTCCGTCCCGTAGATCTACGGCTTTACGTTCAGGGTCCAAACCGTAGATCTACGCCATGAGCTCAGCTCACTCTGATAAACTGTGAGTGGTACATTTGGGCCTAGATATGAGAGAATACATCTATGTGGTATGTGTGCACCACATAAAACAGATCCTGCAGCACACTGTGTATAATGAGAGAAAAAAAATGATATCATGATTTTTCGATTAAAACAGCAACTTTGCAGTGTTTTTTCGTATGTTTTTTATAGTTGTATTTGCGATTTCTTGGTCTCATTTGATAGAATGGAAGACATATTACAGAAATAGAGATGATTTTGATTGGTTTTAGCATTGGAAATGGCTTGAAACTGAGCACAAAGTAGCGGAAATGTTTAAATTTTGCCGATATTCAAGAGTAAACAAACGACCTCACACGTCTAATACACGTCAGCTGGTGGGTCTAATATACATTCACAAATATGGTGATGATATTTATACAATTATTACAGTATTGCATAACAGTAAATCTTCTATTTTTTGGTGTGAATAAAATTCATTATGTGAATAAAAAATAAAAATGGAATTTATTTGTAAAGCCTCAAAACATAACTAATGAACAGAGGAAATGTTAGTTTAGTGCCAGGAATGCCTACATTGTTCATTCTGGACCCTATTTTGAAATTGGAATATTTTGAACTTTGTGTTAATTGGCCAAATTAACAATTTCCGATCACTTTTATTTTGTAGTTGAAACAGTTGACTTGGCGATTTCTTGTGCTCAATCGATAGAATAGAAGTAATACTAGTGAAATAGCTAAGAATTTGGTTGATTGGAATAATGTAATTGGCCTAAAATGGGAGTCAAAGTCGGCAAAATCGCCGATCCGTAAATATCGCTGACACATCAAAATTCGCGAGAGCATAATTTCGTCAATTTTCCACCAAATTTCGTACTTTTTGTTTTATTACCTTCACAAAGAGATTCTCTACGATTTCATAAGAAAAAATAAAAAAAATTTTTTTTTTAAATTCTTGGACACTGGTGCGTGACTCCAGATTTGGGCCTTGGACCCTGAAAGGGTTAATAAGCCAAGACAGCAATGGCTAAGTGTACGTAATAAGGTAAATAGATTACTGGGATTTGTATCAAGAAGTGTAAGCAACAGAAGTCCAGAGGTTATACTACAGCTTTATATATCATTATTAAGCCTCACATATATTACACAGCTCAGTTCTGGTCTCCATATTACAGAATGGATATTAATTTGTTAGAAAACATTCAGCAAAGAATGACAAAACTAATTCATAGCATTAGAAATCTTCCGTATGAAGAAAGATTGAGGTCCCTTAAATTACATTCACTTTTAAGACGAAGAATGAGGGGAGACATGATCTAGGTGTACAAGTGGAAGATGGGTATTAACAAAGGGGATATAAATAAGGTCTTGAGGATCTCTCTCCAAGAGAGAACCAGCAATAATGGATTAAAATTAGATAAATTTAGATTTTGAAAGAATATAAGAAAGTACTGGTTTGGTAATAGGGTAGTTGATGAGTGGAACAGTCTACCTAGTAGGGTTATGGAAGCTAAAACCTAGGGTATTTCAAATTTAGGTTGGATAAATACATGGGTGAGGAGTTGGATTTGAGTGGGACTTGCACATGAGTAAATAGAATTCTTCTTCTTTCAACACACCGGCCGTATCCCACCGAGGCGGGGTGGCCCAAAAGGAAAAACAAAAGTATCATTTTGCATTTAGTAATATATACAGGAGAAGAGGTTACTAGCCCGTTGCTCACGGCATTTTAGTCGCCTCTTACAACACGCATGGCTTAAGGAGGAAGAATTCTGTTCCACTTCCCCATGGAGGTAAGAGGAAATAAACAAGAACAAGAACTAGAAAGAAAATAGAAGAAAACCCAGAGGGGTGTGTATATATATGCTTGCATATGTATGTGTAGTGTGACCTAAGTGTAAGTAGAAGTAGCAAGATGTACCTGAATTCTTACATGTGTATGAGACAGAATAAAAAGACACCAGCAATCCTACCATCATGTAAAACAATTACAGGCTTCCGTTTTACACTCACTTGGCAGGACGGTAGTACCTCCCTGGGCGGTTACTGTCTAAAAACCTATTACCTAGAGTAAATAGAATTATCAAAGCTTATTTCTTGGGTAGCATTGAAAATTGGGTTGGGCATATATTTTGTTAGTGGGATGGATTGTGAAGGACCTGCCTAGTATGGGCCAAAAGGCCTGCTGCAGTGTTCCTCCTTTCTTATGTTCCAAATTCAAACACACACTTGTCATCCTATACAAGTCCAAACCACCCCAACAACTCCTCCACAGCCCTCTGTATTATATTTTCAGTGACCCCACATCATCTTTCAATTTCTAAGCTCTGCATTCTCTGCACAATATTCATATAACACATCACTCTCAAAAATTGTATCTCCACTATCTCTAACTTTCTTGCTTCAAACTCATTTAAAGTAAGTGCCAGTACTACTGTACCTTTTTACATTCCATTTTTTGCATCCATAGATAAACTTCCTTCTTCCACAGATGCCTCAATACAACCCCTTCCCCAATTCCAATTAATTCTATGGTTCATCTTCTATCACAAACCCAACCACTGATACAAATTGTATGTGCATACATACATTCACAGGTTTTTTCACTCTCACTTCATCACAAGTATGTACTAATGTATATAAAAATGCTAGAGAGCAAATATGCAGCATTTTGAATTTTACTTTACTGGTTTATTTTTTATCACAAAGTTATACAGCCAAAATAGTATGCATTGATAATTTGAGGTCTTATATCAAAATACAATTAATACTGAGTGCACAAAGCTCACCTCTGGAATGGCAACTGAATGTATTCCTTTACGTGGAGGTTTCCATCGCTTTTCACGGGTTCTTGTGTTGAAATAGAATGGTCTCTTCGAAGCCTCATCAACATATTCACCCCAGTCATCAAATACTATTCTTTGAGGGCTTGACTGTGGTGAAGGGGGTGTCTGAAAAGACTTCATTTATAGTCACAATAGTAGCAGCAGTAGTAGTAGTAATAGTAATAGTAGTAGTAGTAGTAATAGTAGTAGTAATAGTAATAGTAGTAATAGTAGTAGTAGTAACAGTAATAGTAACTACTAGTAGTAATAGTACTAGTAGTAATAGTATTAGTAACAGTAGTAACAGTAGCAGCAGTAGTAGTAGTAGCAGCAGTAGCAGCAGTAGTAAAAATAGTAATAGTAGTAGTAATGTAGTATAGTTATATGTAGTAATATAAGGTAATAGTAAAAATTAGTAGTAATAGCAATATTAGTAATAGTACTATGGGAATGTAGTAGTAGTAAAACAGTAGCAGTAATAGTAGTTTGTAGCAGTTTAATTAGCATAGCAGTAATAGTAGTAGTTACAGTAATAAGTTTTTTAATTTGTAGTGCAGTAATAGTAGTAGCCCGTAATAGTGGTAGGAAATAGTGTAATAGTAAACAGTAGTAATGTAATAGTAGTATAGTAAGTAGTATTGTAATAGTAATAATAGTATAGTAGAAAGTAGTAGTATAGTAATAGGAGTATAGTAAATAGTAGTAGTGTAATAGTAGTAGTAGTAATAGTAGGGAGTAGTAAATAGTTGCCGTAATAGTAGTGATAGCAGTAATAGTAGTAATATAGTAGTTATAATAGAGTAGTAGTAGTAATAGTAACAGTAGTAAGTTAGTTAAAACAGTAGTAGTAGTAACAGTAGTAGTAGTAACAGTAGTAGTAGTAACAGTAGTAGTAGTAACAGTAGTAATAGTAGTAGTAGTCATAGTAATAATAACAGTAGTAGTAGTAATAGTAGTAATTGTAGTAGTAGTAGTAATAGTAGTAGTAGTAGTAGTAATAGTAGTAGTAGTAGTAGTAGTAATAATAGTAGTAGTAGTAATAGTAGTAGTAGTAGTAGTAATAGTAGTAGTAGTAATAGTAGTAGTAGTAATAGTAGTAGTAATAGTAGTAGTAATAGTAGAAGTAATAGTAGTAGTAATAGTAGTAGAAGTAATAGTAGAAGTAATAGTAGAAGTAATAGTAGAAGTAATAGTAGTAGTAATATTAGTAGTAATAGTAGTAGTAGCAATAGTAGTAGTAGTACATTGGCCATCTCTCACCGAGGTAGGGTGACCCAAAAAGAAAAATAATTTCATTATCATTCAACACTTTCACCATCACTCGTCCATGATCAATGTCTGCTGAAGCGCTCAGATACGACAGTTTAGAAGTCCCTCCAAACTGCCAATATCCCAAACCCCTCCTTTAACCCTTTGACTGTCGCGGTCGTATATATACGTCTTACGAGGTACCGTGTTTGACGTATATATACTCGTAAATTCTAGCGGCTTCAAATCAAGCAGGAGAAAACTGGTAGGCCCACATGTGAGAGAATGGGTCTGTGTGGTCAGTGTGCACCATATAAAAAAAATCCTAGAGCACGCAGTGCATAATGAGAAAAAAAAAACTCAGACCGTTTTTTTTTAATTAAAACGCCGACTTTGTGGTCTATTTTCGTATAGTATTTATGGTTGTATTCTCGTTTTCTTGGTCTCATTTGATAGAATGGATAACATCTTATAGAAATAGAGGTGATTTTGATTGATTTTACTATAAAAAAACCTAGAAATGGAGCTCAAAGTAGGGGAAATGTTTGATTTTTGCCAATGTTCAAAAGTAAACAAATGATGCCATTGTCCAATAAATGTCCAACTAGCCATTCTAATATGCAGTCATGAATGGGTTGATGTTATTTATACAATTATTACAGTATTGCAATAGTCTGCATAATAGTAAGTCTTCTATTTTTTGTTTGAATAAAAATTCAAAATAGAAAGCAAGAGTAATATCAGAGGGGCCTGGAGACGTGACTGATGAACAAAGAAAATGTTATTTGAGAGCCAGGAATGTCTGCATTGTTCATACTGGACCTTATTTTGAAATTGTCATATTTTTTAGTTTTCGTGAAATTGGCCAAATTGCAAATTTCTGACCACATTATTACGTAGTTGAAATCGGTAAATGGGCAGTTTCTTGTACTCAATCGATAGAAAAAATGGAGTTCTAAAGAAATAGCTATGAGTTTGGGCGACTGGAACAAGGGAATTAGCCGAAAATAGGGCTCAAAATGGGCGAAATCGCCGATTTGTAAACAGCACCGAGGTCGCTAACTTCGCGAGAGCATAATTCCGTCAGTTTTCCATCAAATTTCGTTTTTTTGGTGTCATTACAATCGGGAAAAGATTCTCTATCATTTCATAAGAAAAAATAATTTTTTTTTTTTAAATTTTGCGACACCAGGAGACACCTCAGGATTGGGGGTTGCGACAGTCAAAGGGTTAAAGTGCAGGCATTCTACTTCCCATTTCCAGGACTCAAGTCAGGCTAATCGGTTTCCCTGAATCCTTTCACAAAATATTACCCTGCTCACACTCCAACAGCTTGTCAGGTTCCAAAAACCATTCCTCTCTATTCACTCCTATCTAACAAGCTCAAGCATACTTGCTGAAAGTCCAAGGCCCTCGCCAACAAAACCTCCCCCTCCCTCCAACCTTTTTGAGGACGACCCCTACCCTGCCTTCCTTCCCCTACAGGTTTATATGCTCTCCAAGTCATTCTACTTTGTTCCATTCTTTCTAAATGACCAAACCACCTCAGCATTATTTTATTATTCTTATTATTATTATTATTAACACTGCACACTGACTGAATAGGTCACTAAAATTTTGTTTAGATTAAGAACAAGTTTTGGAGTGAGATTAATAAGTTAAGAAAATCTAGAAATGAATGGATTTAACATTTAAAAACAAGAGGAGAGTTATTAGATGGAAAGAAGGAAATGAGTACATGGAGGGAATATTTCGAGGAGCTGTTAAATGCTGGTGAAGAAAGAGTGAGAATGATGTCATGCATTGAGCAGGGAGTTAAAATAACCATTAGAGGTGAAGAACAGCCAGTTGTGACTGTGGAAGGAGAGTGAGGTAGGGGGTAAAATGAAAGGTCAAGCAGCTGGTATTGTTGTAATCAAGACAAAAGTGTTAAAAGCAGGCAGGGATGGTATGTACGAACTGGCAGACTGCAAAGGGTGTGTAAAGGAAGAAAGTTGAAAGTGAACATAGATAAGCATAAGGTGATAAGGGTATCAAATGAGTTAGGTAAAGAAAAATTGGATATCAGATTGGAGGGAGTATGGAGGAGGAGGCTGGAGGCAGTGATGTCAAGTCTAAGGGCAATGTGTGGGGTAAATATTATGCAGAGAATTCAGAGTGTGGAAATTAGGAGAAGGTGTGGAGTTACTAAAAGTATTAGTCGGAGGGCTGAAGAGGGGTTGAGGTGGTTTGGTCATTTAGAGAGAATGGAACAAAGTAGAATGACTTGGAGAGCGTGTAAATCTGTAAGGGAAAGAAGGCGGGGTAGGAGTTGTCCTCAAAAAGGTTGGAGGGAGGGGGTAAAGGTGGTTTTGTGGGTGAGGGGCTTGGCCTTCCAGCAAGCGTCCGTAAGCATGTTAGATAGGAGTGAATGGAGACGAATATTTTTTGAGACCTGACAAGCAGGGTAATATTTTGTGAAGGGATTCAGGGAAATCAGTTAGCTGGGCTTGAGTTTTGGAGGTGGGAAGTATAACACCTGCACTTTAAAGGAGGGGTTTGGGATATTGGCTGTTTGGAGTGATATCTAAACTGTCACATCTGGGCACCTCTGCAAAGACAGTGATTCACACATAATCACTGTCTTTGCAGAGGTGCTCAGATATGACCATTTAGATGTCACACCACACAGCCAATATCCCAAAACCCTCCTTTAAAATGCAGACATTGTACTTCTCACCTCCAGGAATCAGCAAAACTAGAAAAATATTAGTCAATTTACTAACATACCTGCGTTATTTTCCTGCCACGAGAAGAATCAGGTGTTGGGGTGTCTCTGGAAGACATTTTGACAGCTTCATTCTCCTTCTCTTCCTCTTTCTTACTTTCTCGTTTCTCACTTTTCTGCTTGAAACTTCGCCATGTTTCCCTTATCCCTGACACCTTTCCTGAAGACCCATAGTTTTTTCTAAGAGAATCAGGAGTACCACAGTCTTTCCTGGTAGAATTTGGAGTGCTACCACCTTTCCTTAACAAATCTGGAGAACCAGGAACTTTTTGAACTGATTCAGTATTATTGGAAATTTTTGGTGCATGATTTCCTTTTGACAAACTACCACCCCTAGTCAGAATACCTCCACCCACATTGACAGATGTACTATTTAAACTGCTCTGACTTGAACTTTTCTTAACCTGACTGCTATTTCCCTCTCTATGAAAGGTATCCCCTAAACTTAAAGATGCTGAAATTCCAACTTTCATCCCTTTGTTGTTTTCCTTATCTTCCTCTTTTCTTTCAAATGAAGAAATCTGAGAGGGTAAAATCTTCCTTGGTAATGCAATAGGAGGGTCTTTCAAGTCCTGAGACTCCTGATGACAAAGCGAATATTTTTCCTCATTTTCTGAAACTATGAGTGGATCAGAAGTTTGGCTAGTGTGTCCCATTTCATAGGATTTACTCTGGTTACTCCCATTTGTCACTGCTGAACTTGCAGACTGACTTAATTTAACCTCTTGTAACTTTATATCTATTGGTCCCTCTAATATACCAATATTTTCTGAGCTGGAATTGTACGTTTCAAATCTATGTTTCCTTTGCTTCGGTGGCAGTTTAGGAGGCACATCCAAGACAATAGCTGCATCCACAGTCTCCCCTCTTCTTAGAGAAGGACGAAAATTCTCTGAGGCACTTAGCTCCTCAACTGCCCATGATCTACGTCTGTTACCTGTATCTTTTGACAGTCTTGGTTTACGACTTTTATCTAAAGATCCTTGTTTCATTTCACCAAACGATAATTCTTTCTGAAATATTCTAAAATCCACAGAGTTGGATCTATGACGATAGCTTAGTTGATTACTCTTAAATAAATAATCTCTACTATTATAATGACCATCCAATTCCTCATTGCTAGCTGCTCGAGGTTGACTAATATCTAAAGTAGATTGACTTCGATCTCCACACATTAATTCGTCATGTGAAGATGCCTTTATCACCTGGTTTTTAGAATGGAGATACTTCAGCGACTCCATGCTGTCATCATTCAGGCTTGATTTTGATGTGTGAGAGGATGAAGACTCCTGTCCACTGTGTGCATGACCTCGAGAGTTTGGAGACGGCAACTCATTGTTGCTGCTGTTACTTCTGTAGGGCAACCCTTTAGGGAAATCACTTTTAAAGGAAGAAAATCCTTGAGGTCTGCTAAGATACTGATCTCTCCTCTCTGATATTATTCTGGTTGGTTCTACTGCAGCCATGTAACACTGACTGGTGACTGGACTAGTAACTGGACTTTTAGAGGACAGAACGTCTACATAGGTTGATGGCAGCAATGGTAGGCCCTGTGGCTTGTTAGCTGGAATTATTTCATCTGAAATTTGCTCAAATTGCAGCTTTTGTTGCTCTCTTCCCTTTTTGATAAACTGTTTCATTTGTTCATGGGGCACAGCTGTTACTCGAATATACTGCACAGGAGCAAAGAAGGGTCGTTGTTCTCCTTGTCTGATTACCTGCAAAAATTGTTTTAATTAATATACACCATAGTAATTCCCAAAGTCTCCAAACTGGTCAGGATTTGCCAATGTCTGAATATTCATATTGATTTTATTGGTAATTTGGTTCATTCAAGCACTTCTATGCATACCTACTAAGCACCAAAACCCACAAATAAATCATAATGGGCAGATTAATTATCAGAACAGTCAACTATATACAGAGACCAGCACAGAGGAAGATCATACTACATTGTATGTACTATGCATAGAATGACATCACCTTGCCCTAACTTCTAGCCTTTAACTTGGACTTGCACCAGTAAAGGACTCTCTTCTAAATTACAGTAATATTAGATACAATAATTCACATGTAATAGTGGAAGTGGAAAAGAATTATTCCTCTGTAAGCCATGCGTGTCATAAAAAGCGACTAAAATGATAGGAGGGAGGGGCTAGTAACCCCTTCTCCTGTATAAATTACTAAATTTAAAAAGAAATTTTCATTTTTCTTTTGCAGTGTTAATACCACTGCGCTCAAGTGGGAATACAGTTCATTATATATTTGAGGAGAAAAATAATACAAATTTGGTTACAGAAAATATAAGTAAATGAAATTCGTGAAATTTTTATGATATGTCATGTACCTATTCAAGGAAACTAAAGTTATATTACATACTTCTTGAATAATAATTACTTTCAATATCATCAATTTCCAAAGGCAAGATCGGATTGTAATATAATACAATTTTGAGAAGTCATAAAGAGATGTAATTAATATAAATCTATAATAATTTCATGTTGATAATTACTTAACCTTTCATTCATGTACTGTATAGTAATAACATCAATGGTAATTAGTATGTACAGTAATTCTAGCCTGAAACTAGAAGTAAACTTAGCTCATTATGAAGAATGGTCTATGTGGTCGGTGTGCGCAGTATAAAAAAAAATCCTGCAGCACACAGCGCGTAATGAGAAAAAAAAAACTGACCGTGTTTTTGGATTAAAACAGCAACTTTGCACTGCATTTTCGTATGGTATTTATGGTTGTATTCTAGTTTTCTTGGTCTCATTTTATAGAATGGAAGACATATTACAGAAATTGAGATGATTTTGATTGGTTTCACAATGAAAAGCACCTTGAAATTGAGCTCAAAGTAGCAGAAATGTTAGATTTTTACCAAATTTCAAAAGTAAACAAATCATGCCAAGCGTCCAATGAACATCAACTGGCGAGTCTAATATTCTTTCACAAGTGCGCTGATATTATTTATACCATTTCTACACTAATGCAGTAGTCTGCATAACAGAAAATCTTCTATTTTTTGTAAGAATAAAAATTCAAAGTGGAAAGCAAAAGAAATATAAGAGGGGCCTGGGGACATGACTAACGAACAGAGAACTTGTTATTTTAGTGCCAGGAATGTCTGTCTTGTTTATTCTGGACCCTATTTGAAAATTGGCATCTTCTGAAATTTGTGTGAAATTGGCAAAATTGCCAATTTCTGACCACTTTATTGGATAGCTGAAATTGGTAAATGGGTGGTTTCTTGTACTCATTCGATAGAAAAAATGGAGTTCTAGTGAAATAAATATGATTTTTGTCGACTAGTACACATGAATTGGCCGAAAATAGGGCTCAAAGTTGGTGAAATCGCCGATGCATAAACATCGTCGAGACTGCTAACTTCGCAAGAGCATAATTCTGTAAGCTTTCCATCAAATTTCATACTTTTAGTGTCATTATGATTGGGAAAAGATTCTCTATCATTTCATAAGAAAAAAAAAAAATTCTGAAAAATTTTCAACCCTGAGAACAATTTTAGGAGAGGGCCTCTTGACCCTGAAAGGGTTAAGCATTATGATTAGTTTGCCCAAAATGTACTGTATAATTAGTGGCCTTTTTTTTGTCTCTACCAATGTTTTATTACATGTAAACTACATTATTTATACTGCATAAAGAAACAAATGGTATTTTATTGTAAGTGTCTCCATGTATGTTTACTTGCAATACATCACAAAATAATGGAAGTCTAGTTTTGCAAATACCAAAGCAATAAGTATTATGTACATGCCCATTGTATAAATGAACATATTATACACACACATACAGTATATATGTATACAATATAGTGCATTCTCAGTTATTATAAAGTAAAGCAAACATCTGTCTACCTACAAAGTAATTTAGAAACAAATTACATTCTTGAAAAAGTTAACTCAGTAGAGAGCAAGATACTACTACATCTAGGAGCAAAACTATTAACTACAGTATTCAGGGGAAGAGAGAGAGGGAGAGGGAGAACAATAAGCGAATAACCAACCTGCCACCATTCAGCAGTGGAGCGCTTGAGGAGCATCAAGATCTCTCCCTTCGTCATGTGAAAGGTGCGGTCGTCCCGCTGGTAAGAATAATCATGCTCCACCTCCACATATTCCTCCCTCTCAACCCCCATCATGCTACCCTCAGTCATGTTACCTGCAGGAGACCATGACATGTCTCTATTATATTCATGGGGGAAGTGCTAAACCTGCATCAAACACTGCCTAGGGAAGAGGAGATAATCAGGTTTGATCCAAGGAAAGGGAAAAGCTCTAATTCCTTGGATCAAGAGCCCTTCATATCTCAAGGTGAAGAAAAACTATTGCCTCAATTTATTAACTCTTGGGTCTTGCAGCAATAGTCTTGGTTTGAGGAGCGCCTATTGTACTGTTCTATAATTTTTTGACATGCTCTTTAAAAAATTGCCTATTAAACAATTGTTACTGTACTCTGAGCTGCCATACAACATTCCTAAACTGACACAAGATTAATTAAACAGCACCTTTGTCAACCGTGGTCATAAGCGAAATTGACAAAAAATATGTCATACCGACTCTAGCACAATTTTTTTTTTTTTTAACAAGTCGGTCGTCTCCCACCGAGGTAGGGTGACCCAAAAAGAAAGAAAATCCCCCAAAAGAAAATACTTTCACCATTCAACACTTTCACCTCACTCACACATAATTAATGTTTTTGCAGAGGTGCTCAGAACACAACAGTTTAGAAGCATATACATATAAAGATACACAACATATCCCTCCAAACTGCTAATATCCCAAAACCCCTCCTTTAGAGTGCAGGCATTGTACTTCCCATTTCCAGGACTTAAGTCTGGCTATATAAAAATAACCGGTTTCCCTGAAACCCTTCACTAAATATTACCCTGCTCACACTAACAGATCATCAAGTCCCAAATACCATTCGTCTCCATTCACTCCTATCGAACACGCTCATGCACGCCTGCTGGAAGTCCAAGCCCCTCGCCCACAAAACCTCCCTTACCCCTTCCTTCCAACCTTTTCAAGGACGACCCCTACCCCACCTTCCTTCTCCTACAGATTTAAATGCTCTCCATGTCATTCTACTTTGATCCATTCTCTCTAAATGACCAAACCACCTCAACAACCCCTCTTCAGCCCTCTGACTAATACTTTTATTAACTCCACACCTTCTCCTAATTTCCACACTCCGAATTTTTTTTCATAATACAGTGGACCCCCGCATAAACGATTACCTCCGAATGCGACCAATTATGTAAGTGTATTTATGTAAGTGCGTTTGTACGTGTATGTTTGGGGGTCTGAAATGGACTAATCTACTTCACAATATTTCTTATGGGAACAAATTCGGTCAGTACTGGCACCTGAACATACTTCTGAAGTGAAAAAATATCGTTAACCGGGGGTCCACTGTACTTACACCACACATTGCCCTTAGACAGGACATCTCCACTGCCTCCAACCGCCTCCTCGCTGCTGCATTCACAACCCAAGCATCACACCCATATAAGAGTGTTGGTACTACTATACTTTCATACATTCCCTTCTTTGCCTCCATAGATAACATTTTTCGACTCCACATATACCTCAACGCACCACTCACCTTTTTTCAATTCTATGATTAACCTCATCCTTCATAAATCCATCCACCGACACGTCAACTCCAAAGTATCTGAAAACATTCACTTCTTCCATACTCCTCCTCCCCAATTTGATATCCAATTTTTCTTTATCTAAATCATTTGATACCCTCATCACCTTACTCTTTTCTATGTTCACTTTCAACTTTCTACCTTTACACACACTCCCAAACTCATCCACTAACCTTTGCAATTTTTCTTTAGAATCTCCCATAAGCATAGTATCATCAGCAAAAAGTAACTGTGTCAATTCCCATTTTGTATTTGATTCCCCGTAATTTAATCACACCTCTCTCCCGAACACCCTAGCATTTACTTCTTTTACAACCCCATCTATAAATATATTAAACAACCATGGCGACATTATACATCCCTGTCTAAGACCTACTTTTACCGGGAAGTAGTCTCCCTCTCTTCTACACACCCTAACCTGAGCCTCACTATCCTCATAAAAACTCTTTATATACCTGTAACATCTGCCACATTGCTCCCCTATCCACTATCATATGCCTTTTCTAAATCCATAAATGCAATAAAAACTTCCCTACATTTATCTAAATACTGTTCACATATATGCTTCAATGTAAACACTTGCTCTACACATCCCCTACCCACTCTGAAACCTCCTTGCTCATCCGCAATCCTACATTCTGTCTTGCCTCTAATTCTTTCAATAATTAACCCTACCGTACACTTTTCCTGGTATGCTCAATAAACTTATTCCTCTATAATTTTTACAATCTCTTTTGTCTCCCTTCCCTTTATATAAAGGGACTATACATGCTCTCTGCCAATCCCTAGGTAACTTCCCCTCTTTCATACATTTATTAAACAAAAGTACCAACCACTCCAACACTATATCCCCCCCTGCTTTTAACATTTCTGTCATGATCCCATCAGTTTCATTCTACGTAATGGCTCACGTACCTCCCCCACACTTACATTCTGCTCTTCTTCACTCCTAAAAGATGGTATACCTCCCTGGCCAGTGCATGAAATTACCGCCTCACTTTCTTCCTCAACATTTAAAAGTTCCTCAAAATATTCTTGCTATCTACCTAATACCTCCCTCTCCCCATCTACTAACTCCCCTACTCTGTTTTTAACTGACAAATCCATACGTTCCCTAGGCTTTCTTAATTTGTTTAACTCACTCCAAAATTTTTTCTTATTTTCATTAAAATTTCTTGACAGTGCCTCTCCCACTCTATCATCTGCTCTCCTTTTGCGCTCTCTCACCACTCTCTTCACCTTTCTTTTACTCTCCATATACGTACTCTGCTCTTCTTTTAACACTTCTGCTTTGTAAAAACCTCTCATAAGCTATCTTTTCCTCTTTTATCACACCCTTTACTTCATCATTCCACCAATCACTCCTCTTTCCTCCTGCCCCCACCCTCCTATAACCACAAACTTCTGCCCCACATTCTAATACTGCATTTTTAAAACTCAACCAACCCTCTTCAACCCCCCCCCCACTACTCATCTTTGCACTAGCCCACCTTTTTGCCAATAGTCGCTTATATCTCACCCGAACTTCCTCCTCCCTTAGTTTATACACTTTCACTTCCCTCCTACTTGTTGTTGCCACCTTCCTCTTGTCCCATCTACCTCTTACTCTAACTGTAGCTACAACTAAATAATGATCCGATATATCAGTTGCGTAGGAATTAATTCAATATGCAGTAGGGTCCCGTTCTGCTAATACTGTACAGACATTCAAATTATGACCAAAACTCACTATACAGCTCCTCCCACCTAACTTTTTAATATGGTCATCCCGCCCCACCTGATTTGTTTACTTCTCTGCCAGCTCTGTGAGCACAGCGTCTATTGTCTCGAAACTTTCCAAAATTTCAAGCATTTTAGTTATTTCATGTTTTATATATACTCTGATAATTATACTTATGTGTACCTGTACCTACATAAATTTACACACTGTGCTAGCATGCAGATACACATTAAAATCACTACGAGTGTCTTATTAGTCTTGAGGACCATAATAATAATGTGCAATAATAATCACCATGAGGCGCATTAAATGTTATATATTAATAACAAAAAAGGCACAATACCATGACTGGAACAATACACAAATAACCCGCACATGGAAGAGAGGAGCTTATGACGATGTTTCAGTCCAACTTGAACCATTTACAAAGTCACACTAACGAAAAGGAGAGGATGGAGGGAGTATATATAGGCAGGAGGTGGTAGTGCTAGCAGTGGGGAAGGTAGTACAGAGGAGGAGCTAGTCAGATACTGAGAAAGAGCAGCACTGCAAGGGAGCTAGGTGCCCACAGAGGGTATGAGCAAGAACACAGAGGGGGGGGGAATAAAAAATAAAAAATGAAGGAATAAATAACCAAGGCAGAAGAATGACAACCCAAAGGAGGAAAAGGAAAGAGGAAAGGAGAAGAGGGAGAAGAAGAAAAAGAAAAGGGAATCAGGTTAAGTCACAGGCATTCTGAAGTTTGGAGCATTTTACAATGTAGTGGGAAAGGAAGGCATCTAGAGAGATGAAGCCAGGACTAAGATTCATACAAGGAAAGTTGTGTATTACCGAGGATTCAACCAGACGGCGACTGTTAAAGTTGGAAGTAGGGAAGACAGTTTTAGCAGAAGACCAGTCGATAGGATGACTGCGATCTCTGACGTGACAGAAAAGAGCATTGTTAGTGTTGGCAAGCGTTACACTACTTTTGTGCTCCCTAAGTCTGTTAGAAAGAGATCTGCCAGTTTCTCCAAAGTAGTGAAGAGGACAGGAGGAACAGGAAAGAGTAGACACCAGGAGGATCTATAGAGGGAGGAGAGGTATGAACGAGATTAGTGTGAAGAGTGTTAGTCTGGCGGAAAGTAAGTTTGATGTCTAAGGAACGTAGAGAGTTGTTGAGATTAGAAAGACCGGAAATGTAGGGAAGGCAGAGGACAGAAGAGTTCCCAGGAGTAGAGAGGTTGGGAGAGAAGAAATTATGTTTAGCATGTGAGAAGGCAGAGTCTATGAAATGGGAAGGGTAGCCAAGATGGGAAAATGAATTATGAAAGTGGAAATTTCTGACTGAAGGAACTGAGGATCACAAATGCTAAAACTGTCTTCCCTACTTCCAACTTTAACAGTTGTCGTCTGGTTGAATCCTCCCTAATACACAACTTTCCCTGTATGAATCTTAGTCCTGGCTTCGTCTCTGTAGATGCCTTCCTTTCCCATTACATTGTAAAATTCTCCAAACTTCAGAACACCCGTGACTTAACCTGATTCCTTTTTCTTTTTCTTCTTCTCCCTCTTCCCCTTTCCTCTTTCCTTTTCTTCCTTTGAGTTCTTTCTTCTGTCCTGGGTATTTGTTCCTTCATTTTTTATTTTTCCTCCCTCTGTGTTCTTGCTCTTACCCTCTGTGGGCACCTAGCTCCCTTGCAGTGCTCCTTTCTCAGTATTTGACTAGTTCCTCCTCCTCCATACTACCTTCCCCACTACTACCACTACCATCTCCTGCCTATATATACTCCCTCCTTCTCTCGC